TGGGCATGAGGTGCTTTTCGGCATACTCATCTTTTGTTTTACGCCAAACCCACTTAGAGCGTTTGTTGCCAAAAAGCTCAATCTTAGTCTCATCTGACCAAAGCACACAATCCCAGTTGAAGTCCCAGTGCTGCTTAGCAAACTCCAGACATTTACTTTTGTGAGTATTGATGAGAAAAGGCTTTTTCCTTGCATGCTCTCCAAACAGCTCATTGGCCTGTAGAGAGCATCTGATGGTTGGTTTGGAGACTTTGTGACCCCAGGATTCCACTCTTTGTTGGCGACAGTAGGTGTAGGACTTTTTTTTACTTCTCTTACCATCCTTCTCACTGTGCGTTGTGGCAAGAAAAAATTGGGACCTCTTCCAGCCTTGCTTGTCACTGTTCCAGTTGTTTTAAACTTCTTAATGGTTCCTCTGACTGTAGATACAGGCAAGTTAAGGCGAGTTGCTATTTTCTTGTTACCATTGCCTGACTTTTGAAGGTCGACACACATCTGCCTTACTTATATTGTGTGATCTCTTGTCTTTGACATGCTTACTAATTGGTAAGAGAATTAGGCCTCTGTGTCACATATTATTTATACCCCAGGGAAACAGGAAGTCATGAATTACTAATTAAAAGTTCCTAGATACCTGACCAACTTTAGAAACTACAGAAAAATACATTTAAAGGAAATCAATTACATTTTTTTAGTGGAATTGTTAGGGGTGCAAATAACCGTGGGACACATGATTTCATGTTTTTTTTATTTTCTAAATGTGTGATTTTATTTTTACCACTAAAGTAATGTACTTAAATAAAAGGTTGGATTTTTCTCTTTTTTTTGCATTTGGGTTCTTTGTTGTTTAAAAGAAAACGAGAATTTTTTTTTAAGTCCTTGACCACATCTTAAACAGGGGGCAGCAGTTTTTATTTTATTATTATTTTTTTTTTGTGGGGACATATAACTAAAGCTTGCAACAAAAAGTTGATTGTTTCATATATTGACATGCAAAATTAAAGGGCCGCTTGCAGCTCTAAGGGCCCTACATATGGCAGATAAAGTAGGAACACACCTATTTATCAGCCCTGATTTCCTTAATTTTTAGAGATTGGTGATCAAATGATACTTAGGTGTGAAAATGATCATAATCAATGATCTTATCTACCTTTGCAAACAAAAATCACTTAATGTCAGTGCTCTAAACTTTATTTTTTAAAGCATTATCTTCCGCTGTTATAATTCAATTCGATTGAAAAATACTCTATTAATCCCAAAATAAAAATGTAGTTGACATTTTTGTCACATGTATTGCTTTTTTATTTGGATAAAGTATGATAGAAAATTTCAAGATTGATTGTTAAACTATAACAAATGTTATAGAGGAAATAGGTATGGGTCAAAATCCTAATTGACAGGTAAGGCTTTTTAAAGACCGGTTATCGGCCTTAAAGCTGCAATCGGTGCACCCCTAAAACTGTGATCTTCTATCAACTAAACTAAAGTCAAAAGTGCAACATCTTCATTTTCAGTTGTTTTTTAAGTTGTAGAACAAAAATGTTAAAGCTACAAAAATGAAAAGGATCCAAGGGATGAATGAGTGACAGTATTTGTGCCAGCACATAATAATCATACCAAGGCAAAGCAAGTTGATTTGTATAACACGATTAACTACTAAGACAATTCAAAATGCTTTATATGAAGTAAAGCAAGTAGAGATAAAAACATGTGCAAAACAAATAAACTTGGATCACAAACTTAATTATAACTCAGTGAACGAAGACCAGTTCTGCAGGCGTGCTGGCCCCCATTGGCCCCTGTCTAGAACCGCCCATGCCAAGCTCATCTTGTCTATGTATACTTAGCTCCATCCATCTTCCTATCAACACAAAAACCCAAACCCACATGAAAAAATGACAGTTACATTTTGTAGTATCAAGGACCCCGCTTTTATAAACCCTTTTTTAGGGGGTGATTTTAAATAAAGTATTCAGTAACCTTTTTTGTAAAATCCCACATTGTCTTTAGTTTGTGTTCCTAAAGAAAAAAAAATATTGAGTTTCTGTTCATCCCTGAATTTTAAAGGTAAAGAGGCAAATTTTTGGAATGATGTTTGAAAAGATCCGCCCTCTCCTCTGTGAAGTTAGGAAAGATGAGGCTGAGGCATTTCTTGCAAGAAATAAGGTTAAAATTTATTTAATGTCCTCAGCTGGAGAGATGGGGCTCTCTGACTGCGGCAAGCTCAGTACATACATTTATACCTTACAAAATCACAAACACACTCCCCCCTGGAGAACCAACCCACCCCCTGCATAAAGAACTTTCTCAAACTTGAACATTTGGAGGAAAAAACATCTTGAGTTCATCAAGGCCGTTCACTGTTAGGTTAATATATCTTTCATTGGCCAGATGGATCTTCTCAAAACAACAGTCCTCCCCTTCATGCCGGGAAGGAGGCTGTGTCACTCATTCTTATCTCTGATGACCTTTAGAGCCCGTGAGGCTAAAAACAGACATATAATTTTTTTTTACTTCACACTACTTTGAAAAAAAATGCACATGCACAACCCTGCACCTGCTCCTGAGAGGGAACGCCTATTAATTGTGTGCAAGAGCATGCAGGAGCCCATTTCTCCTGGTCAGTTGCTGTTTGCATCGCTCATACAAGCTCACTTTCCAAAAGAAGATTTGCAATTTTTCTACTATGTCAGACTCACAAACTGGGGACAAAGATGTAGGGCGGCCTTACATAAACATATCACCAGAATGATTGACAAGAGGACCAATTATTTTGATGATCTACCCGGAAAATGAACATCATCCACTACTAGGGTTGTCACGATACTAAACTTTTCAACTCGATACCGATACTAAGGAAAATATTCGATACTCGATACCATTTTCGATACCACAAGGATTAAAAACAAAGACTCCAAAATTCAACAGAAATATTTTCATTAATAAATAAAATACAATAAATAAATACAATAAACAATAAGAACAATATTTTGAGGTTGTATGCTGTGCACAATATTAAGCAAGCTTGATAAAAAACTTAAAAAATATAAAATTAAAAGTTCCGTCCTTGGCTGTGCTTTGCACGCATAACAATGACGCTAGCCAAACAAAACTAATTCTCAGCAGCTGCACCTGTTACAAAAAAGTCTGAAAGTGAAAAGTGCACAGAATTATTCAATCACACAGTGTTCTGAAAGTGCATTGTCCTCTATTCTGCACTTTAGATGCACTTTAGGTGCCACTGGTTGTAGCACTGTATCGATACTTTTGAAAATCAGTATTGTATCCGGATACAACGTTTCAATATCGATACTTTTTTGAGTATCGATACTTTTGACAACCCTATCCACTACATCTTTAAAGTGATTAATGCATTAATTTCTCTGGTTTTGTTTCAGTCTCTGTGGCGTGCCTCTTCACCACAGGTATGTGACTCTTTAATGAGCTGATCTGTAACTCCTCTGTAAAGTGCTGAAAATCGTTCTGCTCTCTCCCAGTGTCCTGTCAGTCTGACAGCAGCAGCAGTGTGGTGGTAGCAGGCTACAATGTCAGCGGGCCGGCCGGGTCCAAGCTGGTACTGCAGTGCATGAGTGGTCGCATGGTTTGGACCAGGGACAGGGTGAGGGACAGACAGAGGGTGGTCCATTGGGATATATATCGGGACTTCCCGGACTACACCATGGAGAGAGTGGTGGACATGTTCTCAGCTGGAGAGCATAGGCTGTACCACCATCATAACCTGGGAAGAGTCAGTCTCAACCCTACAGCCTTCAAAGACGGAAACTTTTCACTGGTCATCAAAGGTCAATGATCTTCATCTAATAAGTTTTCATACTTTTTTATTGTTTCATTTGCATTAGCAATGTTTAAAGCCTTTGCAGGATCTTATGTCAATTTTCATACATTTATAAGTGTTTGGTTGTTTTTTTGTTTTATTCAAAATACCATACCTTTTCCAATAGTGCCCTTATCAATCCTATTCCAAAAATAAAAATTGATTTCAAATACTGGACACAGGACCTTAAAAATGCGTTATCCTTAAGCTCCTTATCTACTGTTTGTTTGACAAGTTATCAGCTAATACCTGTTTGGGAGTCGTCACACAGTTTTATTTTCACATCAAACTGTTCAGAATTTGCTATTTTGTTAAAGATTAAACAAAAGAAATAGGAAAAAAACTGTCAAAAGATTCAGTTTTAGTTAGTACTGTGAGAAGTTGTCTGTTTAAGGTGC